GCCGCGCTGCCGCGCTCTGCGCTGGCGCCTGCGGCCTGCGCGGCGGCGGCCGCGGCCGGCGCCGCGTGTGGAGGCGCGACCCGGGACGAGGCGGGCTCGCAGAAGATGGCCGGCAGGCTCACGGCCTCCTTGCCCGACAAGCGGAGCTGCGACAGCTGCGCAGGGCGAGGGGTGGGGTGGACCAGAATCATGACGAAAGGGTGCCATATTTCCGGCCAGGGAGTCGGGCTCGCGCGGCCGCGAGAGACGGAGACGCGAGCGAGGGACGCACGCATGCGCAGGGTCGCCGCAACGGCGCGCGCCGCCGCGGCGTCGCGCGAGCAGGGGCGCGGCGGGCGCGGCCCGCGTCGGCCGCTGTGCGCCGCACGTCTTCCCGCCCTCCTGGCAGGCCCCGCCGCCCCGTGGTCACTCCAAGACCCCCAGATTGCACTCCCGGATCACACCCAGATCACACCCCAGATCGCATCCCGCCCACCTCAAGATAGTCCTGCGGCGGCCCCTCGTGCAGCGCCGACTTCCAACCGACCCTCAGCCTAGTCAGCGCTGACAAAGCGCCCAACCCCTCCAGCGCGCCCGCCCCCGCCCCCAGCAGCAGCCGCGGCGGCAGCAGAAGCTCCCGCAGCCTCGGGGCCGCCCGCGGCAGCGCCAGCAGGCTGTCTCGGCTGGCCGCGACGGTGTCCAAGGTTAGCGATTCAAGGTTAGGGAACGCGCACAGAGCCGCGACCCAGCGCGCGGTGTGGGAGCCGTCCGCGCCGGTCTGCCGCTGCCGCTCGGCTCTCGGCGGCGCGCCGCCGGCCCACTGGGGCGCGTGCAGCGGCGCGGCGCCGAGGGGCGACGCCGCCGTCAGGCTCGCGACGCGGGGCAGGCGGGCCGCGGGGCCGCCGGGGGGCGGCTGGTCGAGGGGCAGCGTGCCCAGCGTGACGGCGGTGAGGGATCCCAGGGTGGCCAGGGCGTCAAACACGGCCGCATCTGGTGAGATTGAGATTGGCAAGGGGGCGGTTTTGAGTGCATCGCCTTGGGAGGCGCAGGACATCGGTGGGTTGCAGATCCAACTCGACAAAAGAGCACAGCGATTGGACAACCTAGCAGTGCGCAAAGGTGCAGGATAGGCCAGCAAGCTCAGCAGGCATGAGCAGACTGGCAGGGCGGGCGGGGAAGACAGGCGCATGGCCTTGGTGTGGCGGTCCCCACGAGCCGCCGGCCCCGCGAAAGCAGGCCTCAGCCGCACAGCTGCCTGCAGAAGCTGCAACCCCTGCTGTCAGACATTGCCGCAGCAAGGAGGGCACCGCGTGCAGCACCCTACTGTATTCTTTTGATTGCGCCACCTCACCTGCGGGCCAGCCGGCGCTGAGCTGGCGCAGCCCCGTAAGCGCGGCCAGCGAAGACAGGCAGCTGCAGCTGCGGAGAGGGCAGCGGCGCGCGGCGCCTCCAACGATGGCGGCCTGGCCTGGCCAGGCGATCTGTGAGGAAGCGGGTCAGGGGGGTATGGGATCGTTGTATGGAGACATTTTGGGTAGAAGGCTGGGTTTGATATCGTCCGTACTGTGGATGCTGTGCATGCTGTGGATGCTGTGCATGCTGTGCATGCTGTGCATGCTGTGCATGCTGTGCATGCTGTGCACTGCTGTGCATGCTGTGCATGCTGTGCAGTGCCATGTGATCTTCTGAGTCCAGAGTCGGGAGTGCGGGCAAGTCCACCAGGGTTATCAAAGGGTTGGCTTTTCGTGGCGCGAGCCACTCGCGCGTGAGTGCATACCGGCTGGGGCAAGGGCGGCCACTGAGGGTGTGCTGGACGCACATGGGTGGTGGATCTCATCCTAGCAGCAAGCCCCACCCGACCCCAAGCGCAGGCGGCCGACCGGCTAGCAGGGCCTGGCGGCCGGCTTTCGGCCAGTCTGCGGCCCAACGTCCCAAGCCGCCCAGAGGCGCAGGCAGCGCTCGGCCCCCAGCCGGCCCCTCTCGAATCCCCTGCCTTGCCTCTGCCACCCCTGACAAAACACAGGAGACGCCTGCTGTCGTCTTCCGGACAGCCCCGGCCCTGAAAACCCCGTTGGTCCCCTTGCAGCGCACAGTCAGCGCCGTGAGGGTGGTCAGCCGCGCGATATCCTCCACCAAGCCCTCATTTGCAACCGGCAGCCATTCAAAAGCCACCTCCAATTCCAACAGCTCGACACCTCCCTCGTCGCCCTCCGCCGCGCCCCCGCCGCCGCCGTCTGCGCCCCCGCCACCGCCGCCTGCACCGCCATCGGCGCCGCCCCCCGGTGCGATGCGCCGCAGCAGCGCCCCCGGCGCGCCCGCGCCGCCGCCGAGCGCGAGGCGTGTCAGCATGCGCATGCCGGCGACGGCGTCCATGTCAGCGTCCGTGTAAGAGCGCGGCGCATTAAAGAGCTCCAGGCGGCGCAGGGCCGTGAGGCCGCGCATCGCGGCGAGGCCGCCGGGGCTGAGGCCGTGGGGGGAGCTGCAGCGGAGCGATGTGAGGGCTGCAGGGGGCGGCAAGGGGGCGAGAAAAGGGGGCATGCGGGCAAGATGGGCAAGGGTTTGCGAGCACTTGAAACACAAGTGCCACCGGCACTCGACGCGGGCCCCGAGACCAATCGCAGACCCCGGGGCCGCAGGCGTGAAGCTCCATCCTGGGCTGCGAGGCTGGATGGAGGCTCCAACGCGCCCGCGCATTGGAGCGCGCGCGTTGGAGCCCGCGCAAGCGGCGAACGCGAGCGGCCAGCACCGCCAGGCCGAAAGCGTGCGGCCCCGGCCCGGCCGCGGCAGGGCCGGCCCGCCGAGGCCGGCCGCGGCGCGTGCTGGGTGCGGCGCCGGTGCGTCCTGAAAATTGCGGCGTCGCACCCGCAGCTGCGACTCATCAAGCCTTTGATCCCCTCAACCCCTGGGATGCCCCCACCCTGCCTTCCCCTAAACCCTGCCGCGGTGTTGACGCGGCAGCGTCAACTGCCCCAATCCCATCCTCCGCCCCCCTTGGCACCCGGTCCTCATCACGTCCCTCCCTGTTGCCCCCAAATCGCATGTCTCCCCCCAAAGGCCATGACACCCCTCGGAAGTCCATGCCCAACCCCCAAAGGCCACGCCACCCCCAAGGGCCCATGAACCCAAGGTGCCCCCACCTGTCATGTTGCCGATGGCCAGCGTCTCCGCCTCAGATACGTAGTGCGTCTCGAATTCAAAGGCCCGCAGGCGGGGTCCGAGGCAGCCGTGGATAGTGAAGACAATGGCCGCCAGGTCATCTGCATGGGGTGAGGTCGGGGTTGTAGAGGGTGCAAAGCGGCTCCAGCAAAAAGCGGCCTGAGGGTTGCCATGTGTGCAGTGCCCCGAAAGGACAGCAGGGGGCTGCAGGCAGCATCGAGCAGCCGCGTTTCAACTACCCTCCAGATTCGCACGCCGCGGCCGCCCGCCACAGCAGCGCCTCTAGTCCCCGGCGCGAGGGGCTGGAGGGCCGGGGGCAGCAGCGCCCGGGGTGCGGGATCTGCTCACAGGTTGAGCACCATGCGTTGCAGTCGCGGCACTTGCGGCGCTCCCCTGAATCATCCGGCAGGCGGTCGAGCAGCGCGACGTGTGCGACATGGGGCAGCCCCTGGCCGACCTGCTCGTTGAGGGGTTTGGGACGCGTGCGTTGAGGGAGGGGCGTCCATGGCAATGAGCACCGCGCTGAAGTTGCCCGCGTGCGACACTTGTGCCGGAGCACGCTGCGGACTCAGCCAGCCTGGCGATTGCATTTCCGCTCGAGGCGATCGAAAAGGACTCTCGGTCTGGGCAAAGGCGAGCGCGTGTGCGTCCGGGTCTGCCATGCCGAACGCCCGCGGCCGGCGCGCGTGCGTGCGCACCGTCATAACGAGGGTGGGCACCACGTTCATCGCCTCGTGAAGGTTTGACGGCGTGAACGTGAGGGACTCGACGCCGGGGAAAACGGCGTGCAGCGCGTGCTGGGAAGCCAGGCAGCAGCTGCCACCGTGGAAGGCGAGCGCCCGCACGCCCGCAGAGACGGCGCGCCGCAGCGCCGCGCACGCGAGCGACAGCGCCGCGCGCGCGGCACGGGGGAGGCGCGGGATGATGTGGTCGGAGAGGATGCCTGGCGGCAGGTCCAGCAGCGGCAGGCGCGTGCCCGCATGGGCGCGCCCACCCTGCAGCGCCATCACGGCCTGCTGGTGACCGCCGGTGCAGCGTTTACGAAGTGGGCGTGCGGGCAGGGGCGGCGTCGCGTTGGCCGGCAGGCGTCTCGTGGCAAATGTTATTTTAGCCGTTCATCAATGCCGTATGCTCTGTACGACAGCTCCTGCACCAGGCCGAGAGCATCGAGTGCTTCGAGTGCACGCACTCACGGCTAATACCTTTGTGCAGTCAGTAGTAAATCTTGAAGCGTTTCACATGTGACTTTGTTCCACACCCAAGTCCAGGTCTCTGAATTGGTTGCTGTGCATCCAGGCTGGCGGCGAAGTATCATAAGCTGGCTGCAGGTTGACGCCCGCAGCCGACTCGCAAGCAACGCGCGGGATGCTGTGGGATGCGCCCCAGCTCTTTGTGGCCAGGTCAGTTGCCAAGACAATAACAGGAAAGCAGCCCAAGCCGGTGGCCACCAAATCAACTGGCCCCAGGTGAAAATTTGAGCCCTGCACAAAACCTGCTCTGCGCGCCATAACCAGCGGTCAGATACTGGCTGACAAGAACATTGGTGCGCATATACAGGCGCTGCTTCTAGACGAATGGATGCAGCAAATCACGACTGGTCAGGGGCTGTCTGGTCACATGTTGTGCGTCTGTTATTTGCGCCACCGACTGCGCGGGCGATCTGAAGTGACTGTGGCGTGCTGAGCGCATACACGAAGCAACATTAAGGTCTTACTGGAGTCTAAACAGTACTGAGGATCAATGGGCATGCGACCATGCATGCGAAGGGAAGCTCGTGGCGGTCAAACAGTCGATGACTTGCTTCTCGCAAAGAAGGTGAATAGTACGCTGATTGAGCCTTGGAAACGTATGTTTATTGCGTCTTTTTTGTAATTGTTCATACAGCAGCACAGTCATCGTCGCCCTTTGTCGGGACTATCCGCCCTGCATCCCCAAGCTGCCTGCCTGGCATCCCCAAGCTGCCTGCCTGGCATCCAGTAACACAAAGTCTAATATAGTGGTGTATAATATGCCTATGAGAAGGTCCGGTATCAGAGAGGCGCGAGAAACGGATCCTCGTATTCTTCGGGCTAGGGTCACGCACTGATAGCCTTGCTTCTGACCCAGAGGAGAGTCTTTGGCGGGTTGAACGGCAGGCATGGCCGGGGGCGTGTCCTCGGACTTGGCGGAGGGCGCAGCCCCGCCGCTGCTCCGCCTGCCGCTCAAGTTGGCTGCGCAGCACATCGTCGCCGGGCGCCTCACGCCATGGGAGCGCTCGCAATTGTCGCTTGCATGCAAGCACACACACGGAATCGCATGCGGCAGCGTCGAGTCCTTGGTGCTGCGCGACGCACGCTTTGCCGGCAGCGGCGCGCTCAGCGCAACCAGCAGCTCGAGCGGCGGCATCGGCGCCGGCAGCGGCGCCGGCGCCAGCGCGCGCGGATTGTCCGCCGGCGGCGCGCCGCCGTACGGCGGAGGATCGTCCTGCAGCGGCGCCGCCGGCCTCGACGCGGCGCAGGCCAAGCCCGCGTTCTTTGGCTGCACCTCCCTGTCGCTGCGGCCCCGCACGATGGCAAACCTCACCAAGATGGTATCCGGCCTGCTGCTGCCAGGTGACAGCCGCGCGGGAGGGCGTGCGCCATCGCGAGCGAGTGGGCCTGACTGTGCAGAGGGGCGGAGGGGTGGCATTGCCACACTGGCGCCAAAGGCGGTCGGCGGCGTTGGGACACCCTCGTCAATCAAAACGCCTCAGCATGGATCCTTGGGCTTAGGGAATCTTTCTGCTGGGGCCATGTTCGATTGCATCAGGAGTCGCCTTTGTCTTGCACCATCATCCCATGATAAATGCCCCCTGTGCCTTCCGCCCGCTCGCGCGCCCAAAAACCCCTGCAGGGCAGCTGCGCGCGCGGCTGCCGGCCTTGGAAGCGATCGCGATCGAGATCCACGATGTGTTTGTGGCTCAATGCGACCTGTCCCTACACATCACATCAATTGCGCTGCACGCGCGCGGCGTGCGGCGGCTGCGCATCGACCAGCCGGGGCTGTTCACGGTCCGCGAGGCGGCGGCGGTCGCGCGCATGCCAGCGCTCGAGGCGCTGGCGATCGTGTGCACCCAGGTGCGAGGTGGAGGCGGGGATGGCGGCGTGTGTGGAAGCCGCAGGGTGCAACACATGCGCTTGCATGTGCAGGGGGGGCGCCATGCGGCGTAAAGTGAGGCGCATGCATGGGCCAGTTTTGGTCGCATGCACGCCTGCATGCGGTGGAATGCGGCACTGATGGCGCCCGTGCGAGACTGTCTTCGCAGCATTACGCATGCAACCGAATACGCATCGCGCACACATGCACAACGTGTTCCATTTGAACATCCTAATCCAGGGCATCGAGCCGGGGGCCCTGTCAGCGCTGGCGCGCGGCGCCACCTCTGACGGCGGCGCGCCGCCGCCCTCTGCGCCCTGCGGCGGCCTGAGGGGCCGCCTCAGGCACCTGCACATTGAGCTGCTCTCGGACGACGCCCCCATCGGCTGCGCCGCCGCCAACAGCGCCGCGCCGTCGCCGCTGCCCTGCGGCGGCGCCGGCGCGCTCGCGGCGGCGCAGTGGGTCGGCGCGCCGCTGAGCCCGGCGACGCCCGGCGGGCGGCGGTCGGGGCCGCCGCCAAAAATTTCTTTGGAAGACGAAATGGCGCTCCAGGGTTTTGCATGCCGGCTCGAGTCGCTGGCGCTGATCGGCCTGAAGCCGCAGCTGCGCGGCTGCGCCACAAAGCCGTGGCAGCCGCTCCTGTCAGAGGCGGCCGACGCGTCCGCCCGCCCC